TATATATATGTATGTGTATAAATATATATTTATATATATGTATGTGTATATATATATATATGTATACATATATATATATATATGTATATATGTATATATATATGTATACATACATACATACATACATACATACATATTCTGTTAGGGAAGGGTTTGGCTCCGTGAGGTCCGGCAAGCCTGTGATTCGGCAGCTCCTGATGGGGGAAGGCAAGTCTGCGGTGGTCGCGCCGCTCTTGGGCCTGCTCCTGGCATCAGAGGGCCTGGTTCTCCAAGCCCCGGCCCCAGAGCGAGTTGCAGCACATGCCTCGAGGCCCCAAAAATACCCAATGAAAGACTGCGCCACAGTGCCCCACAGCATAACACCCTTAAGGAAGCCCCCTGTTTTGTGTTTTTTGAAGGTCCCTAGTAGAAACCCTCCGAGGTGGTTCCCGATCCGCTGCTTTCACAGAGCCTGGCCATGACCCGGGCACTCTTCGGACAGGCCGTGGCCTCAGCGGGCCGTTAAAGGGTTGAGATGGGTTGAGGGTTTAGATGGATGGGCAGAAGGATCCTGCATCGGTTCGCCTTCTTTCGTGCTGCGTTGCTCTGGAGGATGGGGTTGTCGGAAGCCTCGTGCATGTATTGAAGGCTTGACCTCTTCGTGATGCGATGACTTCTCAGGAGATGGCGGGCTTGTCAGAGGTATCTACGCATGAAGACTTGACCCCCTTTTGTGCATTGCTCTTTGGGAGTCTAGCCGAACTTAATCGCTTTGCTGCATTGCTCTGATACCCCCTTTCGTGCGGCATTGTGCCGGTGGGGGGGGGGGATGCTGCATCCCAAAGTTATGACTGTCGAATTGTGCTGCACTGCTCTGGAGGGGTGGTTTAGCACCTTTCCTGTTGCCGGTCTTGTAGTCGAATGTCATGAAACATAAAGGTTTGATCTCTTTCGTGCTGCTTTGCGTTTGGGTGTGGCCTTTTCGAGCGTCGTGATGCGTTCTGATGGTTATAGACTCTCGCCTAATGCATGCAGAGTTGAACCTTTTTCTTGCTGCAGTGCTGTGGTGTGAGGCAATGATGTTGTGCCCCCGTGTCTGTCTGTGTGTGTGTGTGTGTAAGATGGACCAAAGCTTTGACATGGCATGTTGCCCGAGGCCTTCTTCCGGCCGGTCTACCACATGGGCTTCGACAGATCCGATGCCACTTCGACTTCGGCATTTGCCTTGTTGCGCAAGGTGGCCACAGCCACCAAGCAGCGCGCTGCAGCGTCTCAGCTGGAAGAAGAGCAGGCGTGCCTTGAAGTCCAGCTCCCGAACAGCCTCGGACGTTGTTAGAGAAGCCACGGATATGAGCGTTCTGAGTCAGTCTGAGGTCTGCTCCACTGCATCCTCCATCAAGAGCCACGGAGCTTGCAACTGGATCGTCCTAGTTCGTCATCATAACTCCTCACAAAGTTGCACTGGACTTGCCGAGTGCATGTTGCGCGTCCCTTAAGCCCTTAACCATTTCATGCTCCACGAAGTTAGCCTGAAGTATGACTGGCACCCGCAACTAAGCCCTAGATTCCTAGTTTATGTCGTGGTTCGTCACGTTACCTCCCAGAAATCCGAGACCCTAAACCCTAAACCTCTCCTCAACCCTGCTTAGGTTGCATATTGGCCTTCGTCGAGGCGGAGACGAAACTGAGCAGGCCGGATCTTGACAGTCTTGCGGGGTAGAGACATGAAGAATCCCGACTGTTTCGCATGTCATGTTCGGGTGCACTTATCGTAAAGATCGCCTGAGGTCGCTTGTATGTGTCCTTTAATGGAACTCTCCTCCTACTTACGACATCACCACTCACTACTCGTGATGTACAGGACAGTACCATAATTGTCTCTTTTCGTGTTATCATCAACTTTGCTTCCAGTAGGATGTGGAAGAGTTGTACTGCAGGAGGTTGCTGGACTTCGGAAGCTCAAGGTTGCTTCAATGTCTAAGCCCTGAACCCCTGCCCTACCTGGCTGCGTTTTTCTTTGGTTAGGGCCTCAGCAGGGTTTTCAGGAAATTTAAGGGCAGGGTCCAATCATGGCTCATCCTGGCAAAGGACTTCTTGTTAGCTTAGTGCAGTTGAAAAGAGGCCAGTCGAAAAATAGAAAAAGCAGCAGCAACTAAAAGAGCCGAACCGCTTGCACCCAAGAGCCGAAAACCCTGTAATCAACCCTAAACCGTAACGGACCCTAGACCGATGGAAATTGCCTGATTCCTGCCAGGCTGAAAGCGCCGCCTGCGGCCTCAGCACGTACGGCGTCCCAGCGGCCCAGCTCTACCAAAGCCACTTTTTTTGGTAGCGCCCTTTACAATGTCTATTTTGAGGGGTGTGGAGCAAGACTCTCCAGAAAGGTAGGTTATGGCAGTTTAGGGTACTCACTGCGGCGGGGGGCGTCCAGCAGCACTATTCTCCCATATCTTCCCCCTCGATCCATTCAAATTTCCAAGAGGAGATCATCTGAACAGGACGTAGTGGTGCTTGTCGAGGAGTGGAGCCCTTATAGTAGCCCCCATGTTACCTCCTATATTCATATAACTATATAATCTTTCCTGAAAGTAGCCCTTGTCCACTGGGAGGAGCTGCTTGGATTCCTGTCTCAGTTCCTAAGCCCCAAACCCTTAACTCTTTTGCGGGGTTCCTTGTTTTGTAATTATAGGATACTATGCGCCAAGACCCAAGTCTAAGTATTAAGGCCCTGGAGGAAGCCCAAAAGCCGTAGGTGTTTGGATCTGGCCTGCAAGCTCTGGCCTCGCATGGCAGATGCGTCCCACGAGCTCCCCGACATTGGGGAGTTCGGCGGTTCAGATCAGGTTGCAGATTGGTTTAGAGTTTACGGTTAAATGCATAAGGTCGAGGGGATAGGGAGGTTTTGTGTCTTGCTTCGTTTGGTTCGGTCCATACTTTTGAAGCGAAAGTTTATCTTGGGGAAGCAGCTATCAGGTATGAGTCGTCGTAACGCTGTAGCAGCTAGTCGTGCTACGCGTTCGAACGCTTCTGTCAATCAGCAGCGCTGGCTGAGTTCTTGCCCCTTGGTGCGCAGCAAGGAAGGAGCTCGAGTTCACCAGCATCTGCTTGGCCGGCGTTTTGTCCACGTTCCAGTCGAGCATTGGCGTCTTGGATGCGGCTTGGCTTGAAAAACAGGTGCAAGTTTTCCCAAAAAGACTATAGTCTTCACACGGTGCAGCTGGGCGTGGCCTGAGGAAGTGGACTTGCTGCTTCACCCCCTGATGTCGGAGCTGCCTCTCGGCACAGCACCTCCCCTCAGAGGGAGAGGCACGGCCTTCAGTTTTCCGTATGAATCATCAAGGAACTTTCCGGTGGGCGCTCGGGAGCCTCTGGATCTGTCTCCTGAGCGCTGGGAGCTACCAATGCATCTCGGAGACTAGTTTTGAGCCCGGCCTGATCAGAGAAAACAGGCTCCCTGAAGCGTGAGGCATCTTCTTCAGCCCTTCCTGTGCGTGGACGTGGATTTGGAAGGCCAAAGTCCCGCCTGGCAGACGTGCCGCGAGGTGGGCTCCCAAAGAGTGCAGCAGCTTCATCTCCATTCACTGGTTTCTAACGCTTCGACCTTCTCTTTTCGCGCCAAGTATGCCATGATCCCACTTACGTGGGCACAGATTGACACGGAAGTCCCTTACTTTGTGTGAACTGGACCTCGAAGGAGATCGAGAAGGGCCTGCAGCAGCTCGCTTTGCGCGACAGCCCCCATCTGGTCCTGGTGGGGGGCTCTCCAAAATTGGGGCTCCGGGCTCCTTCTATCTAATGCCCTGCTATTTGGGGTCTTTTGGGGCTCCTAAACCCAAGTCTATAGAAAGGTCCCTACGTCTCGTCTATAAACGCTTCGAGGTTGTCGAGAGCTTCTACTTCAAGCACCTCGAGCCTCCCTTGCGGTCCTGGCTTTGCGACTACTTTCGTGGGCATGGAGCTTTCAAAGAGAGCCAAGTGCAGGACCCCTAAACCCTCAAGCGCACCTGACCCAAGCCCTACGTAAAACCCTTTATGGGAGTCAAGTGCAGGACTTGTTGGCGGCGCTGGGCGAGGGAGCTTCACTAAGTGCGACCGATCGGGCAAGCCAGCTGCTGGTTCTCGGCCGGGACTGGCTGAGGCCTTTGCGTTTGAGCCGAAAGCTTGAGCCCTGAGCTCCGGCGACTGCCATGTCAGGCACACCCTGCCCTTCGTCCTCGCAAAAGTCAACCGAGTGCACTATGGCCTGCTGCGGCAGAAGGCGCAATCTCACTCCCTGGCACGCCAGTGTGTTTCCTTAGCCTTGATCTGTGGCCATACATTCAGGCCAAACATGCATGGTTTTGGCTTTTAGGTTGATCTTTCCACTCCCAGTCCAGGACACCCGAGACCTCGAAGCACGAGGCTACCCGGCGCGAGGCACCCGACTCCAGATGGCCGCACCTTGGGCGCTTCAGGCATGACAAAAATCACAGTCTTAATGTGTCGCTTGATTCGTGTTCGTCCTGGGCGAAGCAACTGGTGTTCATACTTTGCGCCAATCCTGCGCGACACTCGCCCAACTCGGAAGACTGACCCGACTCCTGTTTGACAGTGGCACGTGACCCAGAGCAAAAGACTTGCCCACTACTGCACTGTTATGTTTGACATCATGGGGTGTGTGAAGTGGACGGCGGAAGTTGTAGCCCCAATGCTGATTGACAATCGGGCAAATGACTCAGCATTGTAGCAGCGGCACTGTTGTGGCCTTTATCCGAAAGTGGACGATTCACCTTCCCTGTGACATCCTGGTTGGCATGTTTGGGTCTGCAATTGTGGACTCAAAGGCCAAGCCTTGCCCCAATCGTTCGACGTCCTGCAGCCTTCAAACGTGCAGCCCGAAGCAGAAGAGTCACTCCAATCCCGTGTGACAGGTTCGGAGCGACATGTTTTCACATTTAAAAACGGCTTGTAGTCGCATGTCTATGGCGATTGTGCGCAAGAGTTGATCGAGCAAATTCTATCTTTGGGAGTTGCAAGGTACCTTTCACGGGCCTGGAGACGCCTTCCATCGCGTCAGAGTTCGCCAACCCCGACGTCGCAATCGGGTGCCTTGGCGCGGAATGGTTTGACCCCTGCCCCCCAGATACTGTAAACCCACAAATTCGAAACGTTGACCATTCTCAAACCAATGCCCAGTGAATAAAGCTTGGAAGCAAAGGTTGACCATCCAGGCCTTCGGGCACGAAGGCATGCGTCGGAGCGACGTGAAGTCTCTGCTGCTCCTGTCAGGGCCTTTCTTCTTGCGTCCGTGTTTTCGAATGTCATCTAACGTTCCTAGGGACCCAGGGATAGGCAGCATAAAGTCACTGGGATACAGTTCCCCCATCCAGCAGTCTGGGAGCCAGGGTCTTCTTGCACAGCGAGACCGCGCCTCACCTGTCCCGAGGCTGAAGTCCGACCTCCTTCGGGATGCAGGGACTCCAACGGTGCAGCGCAAGGCTTTTCGAAGCTTCCAGGCATGGACACAGTCGGACCCCGACGTGGAAGCGTCCGACTCCGGCGGGGTCCTGCCTTTGGATTTAATCCAGCCGGATCCTGCCTCCATCCTCTCCCTCAAGAAGCTCTGGGCCGGAAAAGCACCCGTCTATCTTTACTACTTGACCCGCGAGATCTTTCCAAAGGCCACACCTTGTCAGACCAAGAAGCTCTCCGCCTGCGCACAAGAGCTGGCTTCGCCGAGTCTCTTTAAGGTAAGGCTGGGCTTCTCGGGAACCCCTAGCAACATCCTCCCCTCCAGCTTGCCTTCGGTGGAGTTCGATGGCACCACCGATGGGAAGACCATGGCTATTCTCTCCTCCCCACACCTGGTCCAAATCCATCATCTCAAGTCTGGCTGGACACCGCAATCCGTGCTCAGATACGTGGCCAATAGGTGGGCAGCTGCGAAAGAATGTCAGGGGAGCTTCTTTCAGGGTCGCCCTGGAGCCTCGACGCTTTGGCCTGTTCCACCAGTTCCATCTAAAGACTTTTAGAGAAAACACACACGCCTAAACAGATAGAGATAGCCGCAACGGGAACCTATGATATAGGGAGAGAGAAGACAAAGAGTTGTCAGGTAGCTAGCTAGATAGCTCGACCCAAACCCCATAGTATGATGTCACAGGCGACCGCGCTTCTGCGCCCTTATCGACACGGCGGCACTCCTCTGCGGCTTGGAGAACGAGGAGGTGGCAAAGTGGCTTATGGACAGCCCTCTGACGGAGGGTGAGGGACAAGATGCAAAAGAGGCCTGCATCTTCCTGGCTCGCGGAACCGACCTGCCCATGATTCTGCTGAAAGGCGCTGCTTCGGCTGTACCTTTGGAAGATGCCAACATCCTTCCGGAGAAGCGCTTTTGCTATTTCGACCAGCCGCACACTACGGGCATTGATATCAATCAGCCTTCACTGGGAGTGCGAAGCTCAGTCCTCCAAGAGCGGACACGTTTAGTGAGCCGTCCCTAGCATCCCACTCGCAGAGGTTGCTGCCATCACAATGGGAAAGGACATGAGCATCCGGGAGCTGCAGCAAGGGGCCTGGCGAATGCGCGGCCTTGCAAGAGGGCAAACGCTGGAAATGACTCTTGGTTGAAAACTCTTGCCGGAATCATTGCAGGCCCTATAGGACCATGTCGACACCACGGGTCTTGCCTAAGTGTTTCCTCGCAAGCTCACAAAATTGTTGTCCATCTTGTGCCTTCGAAAGGATTCTTCCCGAAGATGTTGCCGTCTACATGCGATCTGCTCAGTCGAAAGTCGCGAGGGGGGTGCACATCCTGCAGCGCTTGAGCCATCCCCAAGCCATGTTTGGATTGAGCCAGGGCAGCTAGGGGTTTGGGGGTGTTTAGGGTCTCGGGATCTTCGTTTCATTGTGGTTTAGTTTCTGTTTGGGTCTGAGGCGCAGCGCTCTGGAAGATGAGACTGCGGTGCCTCTTTCGAACAACTCCCGAGCGCTTCAAGACATCCAATCCTGTCTCTTGATGCGCTCCGCAGCGGCACGCGGGAGCTCAGTACAGACCCTGCGAAAAGCCTTGAACAAAAGCCCGGTGAAAGACTGGTAAATCTGAAGCCCTGCATTTTTCTGGCCCTGGTGAAGCCCCCATGCTTGCAGTGAGCTTGTTTGTGTTTTCAAAAGTCCGAGGCTCCGTGGAGCGGGAAGAATTGCAAGCCCGGCAGCTCGTGCGCCAAGATCTGGGGAACGTTTGGAAGTCTGAGGCTCTTCAAGCTTTGATGGCGGGTCGCAGAGAGGACGTGGAGGTGCCTCCGATGCCTCTACTTAACGGTGCTTCTCAGGATCTCTAGACCTCTTTAAGGTACCGGTAAGGAAGGTGTGCAGAGGGGCGAGTTGTTCGAACGGCCTGCAGGTGCTCCTGGAGACCGTGAGCTCCGATGTCCTGCAACGCACACCGCAGAGTCTGCAGGAATCTTTGAGAGATTTGGCCGCCCCCTTTGTGAAGGCCAAGCCTTTGGCCGCAGCTGTTGAGAGGGCTGTGGAGCGAGCAGTACAACTCCTGGGCGATGTCGCAGAGCATGGCCGTGGGGGAGGAGGAGGGGAAATCGTTCGCGAGCAGGAGCAGCAGCAGCAGCTGGAACATCAGGCAGGGCTGGTGCTGTTAGTTCGCAACTGTTTCAGAGCCAGACATTAGTTGAAAGATCTTGGCAGTGCAGCTGACTCCCAAGCCTCGACAGGTGGAATCAGAGAAGGACACGACGCTCAACCGGCCTCGCATTGGTGAGAGCCGTGTGTGGGAGCTTCAGCAGAAGATGGAGGAGATTCTTGGTGCTGTCACTGCCGGGGACAAGATTCAAGACATCCACCTCTTCGCTTTCCCATCCGCGGCGACGATTGCAGACACCTTGAATCTGGCCTCGCAAGCCGGATCGGCCACACAGGCAGCGAAAGGACTCGAGGCCCGCGCGCGCTTGCAGAGCCTTCGTCTCCGATTCTCACCGAACTCTCGCCTCACCAGCGAGCTTCCCGTGCTTCGGCCTGTTCTTGTGGCCCTCCAAATCCAAGCCGCATCCACGTCCTCCACGTCCACCCTGGCCTTGTCTCTCTGCGAGGCCGAAAGTATCCGTTGGATCCTGGAGACAGAGTCAGGTGATGTCCGGGCCAGCTTCCTGCTCCATAGCATCTCCGAAGCTCCGATGTTCGAAGCTCCAGGTCCAATCATGGCCGAGCACCATGCTCCTTGCCTGCACAGCCTCAAGAGCGCACGCACAGAAACGTACAGAGAATGCATCCAAAATCTGTTGAGCTATCTGTCTATCCACCTATTCATACTGCACCCTTCTAGCTGCCAATCAACCTGTCTCTGTCTATGTGTCCATCTATCCTTTTGAAATGGCCTGGTTTGGCTTGAAGTCGGTTTCCGTTTTCGCATGGAGAAAGCTTCGTTTGTTTGGCCTTCCACTCGATTAGAGGGATGGCTCTGAAGAATTCTCTCTCTCTCTCTCTCTCTCCCTCCCTTTCTTTTTCTCTGTCCCCCTCTTTGGTTCTTTCGTTCTCTTTCGGTTCGTTGGTCCTCTGCGTCCTGTCCCTCTCACATTAGGGTGCTTCGTGATGTCAAGATCTTTCTTCCTTGCAAGAACCTAGGATTTTGGTCCACTGCCGAGTCGAGAACTGCATACACTATATATGTGCACGCACAACTGCTATATCATGGCTGTCTCCATTGCAACCCAGGTGCTTTGCCAAAGCCGGCCGACTCTGGCCGTTTCACAAGCCGCCGTCAGCTTCTTGCGCTTCTACCTTGGCGAGTCCTGGTTCTCTGAAAGCGAGTCCAAGCTGCAAACTGAAGCAGACTGAAGCAGTGGACTTCTTTGTTTCGGGTCTGGGTGTAGCGTGTGCTGACGGGTGCTGTTGCAGCTGCGGATGGATTTAGATTCAACATCATCGCCTTGCGCGCCCGGTCCATCGGTGATTCTCCGATAGGGGTGCAAGAGTGTTAATCATATGCCAGCATGGATTTCCTCGTGTTGTGGGGTTGCAAGTGCGTGGGATACGTATCATTGTTCAACGTGTCGTGCG